AGGGGCAGGGCCCGGCGTGCAGGCAGGGCCGCCCAGCTCCAGTACACTCTGGCCGGGAGGCAGGGGAGGTAGGGGGGCGGGCAGCACCAGCAGGGGGTCGCCCCTGGCCGGTGTGGGAGGTAGGCAGGGGGCAGGAGGGGGCAGGCCAGTTGCCCCGCCACCCTGCGGATGCGTCGCCGGGCGCGGCGCCGGTGGTAGTCGCCCTTGGAGAAGTCCTGGTAGTTGGCGGGGTGGATGGCCCAGTAGTGCCCCTTCCCGCTGTCGCTCCGCCCCGCCTTGACGAAGCACTCGTTCAGGGACAGGTTGTGCCGCACGCTGTTCCGCCAGTTCTTATCCTGCAAGACCAGGGCGGGAGGGGCAGAGAGGGGCACATGGGATACAGAGGGGCACAGTGGGGCACATGGGATACAGAGGGGCACAGAGGGGCACATGGGATACAGAGGGGCACAGTGGGGCACAGAGGGACACAGAGGGACACAGAGGTCAGACTCGGCCCCCAATCTCCCAAACCCACACCCACACCCACTGGCCATGTCTGCCAGCGAGCCTTGGAGGAGCCCGAGAAAACGGTCTCACCTTCGCCGATCTTACAGACTCAGGCTACAGTATCGGAGCCAGGAGCAGCTCTGGGCGGGACAGCACTGTAATCCGCTCAGCTCAAGCACTTGTTACCACAGTTAAAGCCGGAGTTTCTGTGCTCAGCAAGGAGCTCAGGGCGCCTAGGACAAGTGTGCGTCCTGTCAACAGGATTACCGGCCTGCTCCACATCCCACAATCGCATCAGCCCCGCTCCCAGTCTGTCCCAGCATCCCTGGCTCTGCACTGCTGCACTGTCCCAGCCTCACAGGAAAGAACGCAGATTGGGGACCCAGGACTGGAGAATCACCCAGGATTCCACACAGCAGACAAGCTGGAATACACACAGCCACACACTCACAATCCTACACTCACACACACAGCCACACACTCACAGTCCTACACTCACACACACAGCCACACACTCACAGTCC